ATCCAGGGCATTTTGAGCATGTCTCCAACTTGCTGAATTTCCACTGAATTGTGGAGTTGTGCCGGCRCTGATCATTTGGGGTGGTGTCAATCTGTACTGCTGGAAGGAAAGCCAAGATGCGATATCAGTGAACGTGTTTCTTGAAGGTTTTGGCTCCTCCCAATGACAATTTCCGGGATTCTTCAGCCAAACGATGCCACATCACCAGATTCTGCTTTGGCAAAAATCTCAGATATAYAGAGCTAGCAATGATATATTCTGCATCATGCTGTGAGCAGGTGCAATAAAGTATATATCTTAGGGTCACGTACATACAACAAATAGTCAAGGAAGCATAATAAATACAGTATTTTGCTGTTGTGCCCTGTTAGATTTTTTTTATTAATTTTTTTTTCTTTTTTTTTTTTTTCCCATGTACTACCTCTTTTCCCACCCAGATTCCCACCCAGATCTATCTTTTAGTAGAGTGACTCCTCTCTGCTTTAAAAATCCTTCCAGGAATATTCCTACAGCCCTATATTACTAACTGTATAGGTCTGAAGCCTTTGCAGAACTGACTAGGAGCCAGCAGGACATAGATTTCCCATCCCTGCACTGCTTCACAAATATGCAATTGCTTGGTGGATCATTCCCATTAATAATACGAATAAAAAAACTTTTGACAGAGCAAAAAGTTCTGACTGAAAGAATTCTGCAGTCTTTATCCCTACACCTTCCATCCACTTTTCCCCAGAGCACGTACTCCATTGGTTCCTCCACAGTTATCTTATTATCTTAATAATATTTCTTGAATGTAAACTACTTAGGTCTTGAAGGGAAAGGGAGACAGCAAATTTCTATGCTGTGTTCTTGTTCCCTCTGCACCCCATTTCTATTTTGACGTTTTGCTGTTTCATTTTCATCAACATTTCTGGATGTATCTTCCTTTTTTCTTGATCTGTTATTATGCCCATAGTTTTATTATGCATACATATAATAATACTAAGGGAATAATTAAATGATCTTGAATAAATAACTATAGAAAAATATATATTTCGTTACTCATTTTATTTTATAATACTTCACTGGAGTTAACATAGTTTTCATAGAACAAACAAGCATTACAAGGTTAGTACTAGTTTGGGGACTTATCTGTATTATAATTTGTATTATATGCAATAGATTAATGAATGTTATTAAGGTATTCTTACTGAGCTCCATATCAGATGGGAAATAAGGTGTAGTAGCTTCCTGGCAGAAGAATACTTATTATGGTGTTTTATAATGAGGGTATGCTAGAGATCAAATTAGTAYCCTAATGGGCTCGAGCTCAGCACCGTGATCACCGTGACGTTGTGCATATTAGCTGCATACGTGTGTGTGGGAGAAGGCACCTGTCTAGATATTTATGGATATTGAAAGCTGCAGCCATCAATGTTGAATGAAGCCAAGTCTTATCCTAATCTTTTTTCTTCTCCCTTTCACATCATAAAGCTGCYCTGTAAATTAGGTTTTCAGAAAGTTATTTAATAATACAGAAAGCTATACTGACACACAGAATGTACAGTAATTGCCTGTGGGTATGCAGTATGTTTATAGCTGATGTATTCTAAGCCTTGAATGCTATTTTTCTATTTGCTAGACTTCAAAGAAACTATTGCTTGCTGGTTTTCATGATATCCAGCATTGGGATCTAACCAGCATAATGAAATGCTGACCATAGGTAGCAGTACACATTCTTTTATTCCCAAATTATAATACTCAGTCTCTCAAAAATTAGTTACAAAGAAATAAAAAAAAAAAAAAAAAAAAAAAAAAAAAAAAANGAGGGAATGGAAAAGGTCACATATATACACACACATTTAAAAAATGTGAGGAACAAGTTCATAAGAAGAGATAAAAAATATATTTACATATATAATATGATAATGAAGTTATATGATAAATGATAATAAAATTACATGATGATAAAAAGTGGAATCTGTCCTTCCATCCCAGGAATTACAAAAATAGTTCACCTTAACACAACTGCAATGAATTAGAAATTTACGTCTAACCATTTCACTGTCCCCATGTTTTATTTCACCTTTTTATGTATAAAAATAACAACTTTTAGAAAAAGAACTTCTAGAGTAAAGCCAAAACCAAACGGAAATTTGACATTCATGGTGAACTAAAGAGAGAAAAATATGAATGTGTTTTTAAAATAATCTTGAATAGTTTGACCCTGGAATTATATTGATCTTTCTTTTACAACCTTGACATAAGGGCTTCCACCACTGACATTTTTATTTCAGCATCATTAGCTGCACCAGTAAAGATTACTTACGAAATGTTGTGATCTTGAACATTTTCTGAAGACCTCATCTGATATTCCAGTTTCAGGAACGTTTTGCATGTAATAGTCTCCAGGTCATATTCCTTGACAGCATTTCTAAAGGCCCTCCCAAGAAAGCTGTGATAAGCAGTAGTCCACATTTTTTATTATTTGTCATTTTTCCACTTTTTTAAATCAGGAGGTCAATGGAAGCTCTGTCTAAATACAGCTTGAGTAGAAGACTCAATTTAACACAAAACTTTGAAATTTCARAACACTAAAATGTATAAAAAGTAGAAAAATCTGTCTTAACTGAATCATTTCAAATTGCTTTTTTTAAAACTGTTTTTCTTCTGTAAAYGAAAATGAGACAAAACATAGAATAACCAGAATGGCCACGACTTTTCAAGTTTTGATCTCGTCCCTCACAAGTTACTGAARATACAGACCAGCTGCAAAAACATAATAGCATCCAATATAATGCTGGATAAAATGCAGCAGTTTCCTTTCTGTTTTCTATTTTCAAGATGTTTGTTTTATATTTTATTTTTGTGAAGACGAAAGGATACGTTTCAAATCTAGTATCTACATTCTGGGAATGTCTGTACAAACATGCTATGTTTCTCTTCTTCTGAACTAAAAATACAATTATTTGACATAAAAGCTTGGGAAAAATGTGAACCAAAGTGAATCATGTGCCATATTGCTCTTTAGAATATTAAGGCTAAATTCCCCATTGGCATAAACTGACGTAGGTCTGTTGAGTTCAATGGAGCTATTCTAGCCGATGCTAGTAGGGAATTATGAGCAGCTTGGTTTTGTTACACAAATTAGACAGATGTGTACTAGATAATTAGGAAAAAAAATAAGCTATTGATTGTGTATGATCTGATCCCCATGAATACAGAATACATGGTTGAATATACATGATCAAAGTTTAATTTTCTATTTTGTATGATAATATTCTGCACAGGAAAATAATGCCTTTATTCTTCGCAGCAATGGGAAGGATGCTTTGTAACTGGGGACACCACTTCCAAAGAAGRCATCTGCATCAATAACTTTTATGTCTCACATTCTAGAAATCACACAGTATTTGGACTTATTTTGTTCAGTAGTCCTTTAGTGAAATGAAAATTTCAATTTCCAGGTCTACCTGAAATATTTGAGATATATCTACAAATAAACAAATAACTTCAAAGTACAGCACTAGTTTTCTGCTTAATTCTCAGCAAATTTATGTACATCTTCTAGGTATACAATCAGGAGGTTAATCCTTTTCCCTCCTACACAAGGGGATAAAGAAGGAACCTGAGAGAACCGAGAAATGGAAAAGCTTGATAGATAGAGTATGAGTTCTTCTGGATAAGAAATGAGACAGGCATGTGCAGGAAAAAATACACTTAAAAGAAACTGCTGCACTTGGAAGCATACTTGATCTCCATTGAGGTCCTGACAAGAAAAACAAGCAGACAAAAAAATCACTCAAATATTGCTGTTAAGAAAAGCATATCCACCASTAGATACTGGTGATACTTATCTACTTATCCCCCAGTGATACTTATCTACTATTTTTTTCCATATATTTTTTTCCATCAATTTAAGACTTCACAAAGATACCTGACTGGACAAGAAGCTTCCACCGCAAACCTACATGCTATAGAGTTAGCTTCCAGACTGTGAGATTGCACCTAGTGTAAACCTGCTAGGATAAACAGGGGGATATTCAGTAGTATTAGTGAATATTCAGTAGTTGTAGGGCCCCATTTAACACAGTATCAATGTTACAATCATGAAGATACCGATTTCTGACTATCCAAGTTTTCCAGGCTATCCAAGATACAGAAAGAAGAATCTCCTTCCATGTCTTCACCTAGGGCTAAGTTAAAGTCATTCAGCGACTCTGCTTCTGGACTACCTTTTCCAATGCATTCAGATAAGCAAAGATAAAATATGAGTAATATATCTTTTGAAGCAAAACAGTCCATAGCCACCCTCTGCTTCCCAGAAAACATCAATGCTGAGATCAGCAATTCATACGGTGAAGGCTGATGACATGCAGGACACCCAGACTCAGCTGAGTTTAGTCACACTAGATTCTGATCTCATCTCAGCTATCTCTTGGAGTGGAAAAGGGAATAAATAATAATAATAATAATAATAATAATAACAACAATAATAATAACAACAACAACAACAACATGATTCCTGTGCTTGCAAGTGTGCTGCCAATTCTGTTTTCTCACAAATTGTAACCAGCCATGAAGTAAACTGTCTCATTTTCCACATGCTAGATGCTGCACCCTGGCTCAGATGTCCTTCTTTGACAGGACAGGGCTGGACAGGACAGGACAGGAAGGAGGCTGCACCAGCGAGCACTCTCTGTAGGGAACAGGRTGGCTTGGGAATAGCAAACTGACAGAAAGAGAAGATGGATCCCAGAGGGATTTACAGCAAGAGATTCAGAGAAAGGAAATGATGAAAGGAAATACTCAAACAAAAAAACATTAGAAACTGAAGTCTCTTTTGGTRGAAAGGTTCGGTCAGCCCTACTTAAGGCTACAGCTGGCTTGCAATCACAAATTCACAACCCAGTAAAATACTTGGAAAGCAAAGTAAAAAACACTTACTCTCCTTGTCTTCAGCTTTCTGTGTTGTACAGACCTGAATCCTTTGTATCTTGATTGATAACTCTGTCTTTCCATGGTTATTTGAGATAATCATCTGGAAAATCAGTGCAAACRATGCATGTTTAACTGGGGCACTACCAGAAATCCTGCATATCTGTCAACCTCTCTGTGAGAAATCTGAATCCACTTTGAAAGTCAACCAACAATTTCTGGCAGAGGCCAAGACACTCAAGCCTGCGATATCAAATACGTGGCATACTTGATGCTCAAGTAAAATGKAAACTACTCAAATTGCTTGAGCTTCTGTAAGCATACAGCAGAGAAAATTAAATTTAGCTTAATTATTGATAGGTAAGATTCATTATTTCTTTTGAGAAAATCAACAGGTATTATCTAATGATCATAGCCCACATCTGAGTTGGCATAGATTTTCTTCATTTTGCTGATTCAC